ATTTTATTTTATCTTTTCTTTTAATTATTTTATTTTCTTTAGTTATTCAAATGAGGTTTTTTCTCTTTTTTTTTATTTTCTCAAATTGAATATATCTTAAAAAATACATGTGTAATAAATGATTTATTGATTTGAGTGAAAGTAATTTAATTTTTTAAAAAAATAAAGTCTCAAGTTTCATTCTTGTGAACAAAAAAAAAAGTAATAACAGAACTCTTTATTATAAGGTTCCACAAAACTCGACTCAAAATTATTTAGAGTTTAATGTAATTTTTGAATATTAAAAGATTAATACAAACAAATACAAGCATATATAAGACCTAACATAAAAAAAATAAAATAAATAAATAAAGATTCATGATAACAATAAGTCTAAAATGAAAAATTGGTTCCTATTTTTAAATTAAAAAATATTACTCTTGCCTACTGCCTAATAAAATTAAATTTCCTTTAAAAGGATTTTGATTTTAAGATCACTAACAAAAGTGGAGATTATTCATATTATATAGCATATTAAACAAAGTTTTCTACAAAAATTTTTACAAATATATAAATAAATTATTATAAAAATACACCAGACCATTTAAGAAACAATTAGTAAACCTTACCCTTAAAACGGTACACCTAATTTCAACCTTAGGAATTGAACGAAATGAGACCATCCTTAGCCAAGAGCTTACTGTGTTTCATTCATGATATTTAAAATAATTAGAGTTTTAATTTATATTTAAAAATTAAAATTTTAATTTAAAATTTAAAATTTTAATTAATTTATAAATCTAAATGTTAATATTTCATAAGATCAAAATTTAAAATTTAAAATAAAATTTAATTAAATAAAATACATAATTTAAAATTAAAATTCTAATATTGTTTAAAATCAGAAATTATATAAATTTTTTTCAAATAATAAACATAATTTAAAATTAAAATTTTAATATTGTTTAAAATCAGAAATTATATAAATTTTTTTCAAATAATAAATATTTTAATTTCAAGAGAATTAAG